TAAATCCTTTATTTAGTCAAAGACTAATAAATTATACATATAAGTGAATAACAATTTTAAAGAAATCGATACAATCTAAAAATTATAGTATTTTTTTTTTGTAACTTGTACAATGTCATTAAGCTGTAATATACTTATATTAAAAATAATTAATTACTAATTTACATCTCACCTCAAATATATTGTAAAAAAAAAATGTTACTACAATATAATTCCATCCGTTAATAGGTGCTTCTTGAGTTTGACTTTAAATATACTCAGACTTTCAGAATTTTTTACATAAACCGGAATATTGTTGTACATGGTTACACCTTTAACAAAAATAGAGTTTTGGCTATATGTTCTGCTAATGAAACACGTGTCGAGGTGTAAAAATAACGATTTGGTGTTGGGAAAAAACTCCAGTAATATTTATCAGAGGTGTTGATGCCCACTTTAATAAAACGGAAGAACTAACAGCAATGTATCCACTCAAGGATACCACTAAATCACGAGATTTATTAGAGGCTGTTTAATTAACCATAGACCGCTTTTCATTACAATTAAACAACTTGTCGGGTGTAACAACTGAGGGTGCTCCAGCAATGGTTGGGAAACATGAAGGTTTGGTAAAACTGATTGAAAATGAGGCCTGTAAAGTTGGCAATACGTCGATGCTAAATTTTCATTGTATTATTCATCAAGAGAATTTGTGTGCTAAATCTCTCAAAATAGATCATGTTATGAAGGTAGTTGTCAAAATGGTGAACTTTATTAAGTCGAAAGGTTTGAACCACCGTCAGTTTCAAGAATTTCTTAAATCCTTGGACTCAGAATATGGTGATGTTTTGTTTTATGCAGAAGTAAGATGGCTGACCCGTGCCAAAATGTTGAAAAGAGTTTTTGATTTGAGGCAAGAAATACAATCATTTTTTGAAAGCAAATCCAGGAGTATTTTCGAGTTTCAAGACGAAGAGTGGGTATCCGACTTTGCATTTCTGGTAGATATAACTAGCCACTTAAATGAACTCAATATTCGTTTACAAGGCAAATGTCAATTGATTAATGACATGTATGATCTTTTTTCTGCGTTTCAAATGAAACTTGTGCTTTGGGAACAGCAGCTACGTACTAAAAACTTCACTCATTTTTCTACACTTTCAGATCGACCAGATATCACATCAGAGATAGCGGCTAAATACGCATCTCTAACATCTGATTTAAAAACTGAATTCGAAAGCCGATTCCTAGATTTTGATAAGCATCGACTGCTTTTTTCTGCATTTGTAACACCATTTTCTACAGATGTAAGTTTCTTGCCGGGTCATTTACAAATGGAATGTTGCGAAATGCAATGTGATGTACAGCTTAAAGAGAAATTCAATCAGGTTGGCTTGGAAGAATTCTGTAAAAATTATTTTGATAAAGAGAAATATCCTGCGTTTTACAAACATTATCTGTTCATGATTTCATTATTTGGTAACACTTACATGTGTGAACAACTTTTAAGTAGAATGAAGCATATTATATCTCAAATGAGAACACGGATTACTGACGCTCATCTTGAAAATTGTTTGCGGGTAGCAACGACATCAGTCGAAGTTGACATTGATCAGCTTAGCTCCGATAAACAAAGTCAGATATCGCATTAATTTACTATTTAGTTACCCAACAGAATTATGGAGAATTAAAATGTGTAACTTAAAGTTCGAGAATTATGCAGAAATAAAAACTGCCACTTTTAAATTAGGAATGCAAGTAGGTCTTTACCATAACAGTGACGTTCGATCTATTCTTCATTTAACTCCTTTGGAAAATAGGCGTATTCAAATAGATTTACCTTTTTTATATAAAATACTGTCAGGGCACTTTTATTGTCCTGAATCACTCAGTTTGATTAATTTTAAGGTGAAGCAATGTGGAACAAGAGATGATACATCTGTCTTCATGGTGAACAGGCACGTGACAAACTATGGACACTATAGTCCTCCATCAAGAATTCTGAGAGAGGCTAACGAGTCAGGTCTCAATTTTTTCCATAACTCTTTGGAAGTATTTGAACAGGAGGCCAAGGATTATGTATTTTCTATTTAATTATGTTTTTACTATGTTGGTTGTTAATGCGATTATATATCAGTTTTAGTTGGTTTTTACTGTGTAGGGTATTAATTATATAATTTTGTATTCGATCATTGTAATACAGGGGTTTCCCGTTTATACTGAATAAATAAATACTTGTAATGAATATGGCTCTTGGGTTTTCCATTATTTCACAAGTGAAATATTCATTATTATTCTCAACTAATTTTGAGGATATTTTGCTGAAATAATTATTCAATTTATTCGATATATCGATTGAATCACTCTGTATGTCACAGCTTTGCCTCTTTACTTTGGCGGTAATTTCGTTGCAGATACTCCACATACATTTTGTTTTCAGAATTTTTTATACGCTCTTTATAATTTTCCTGTTTTGACGATATTAACAACTTACCACACTCAGTTTTTGATTGCAAGTATTCATATTTGATACTTCCATTCGTTTTGGATAGACATAGTAATGTATCTAACCTACTTTTGCATTCCTTAATTTGAGAATTCGAGTAACAATTTTTGTACGGAAATGTATGTATTTGATTGGAAAACATTCGTTGACAATATTTATAAAGTTATTGATGAACATCACCCATTGTTGTTTATTTACTTGCTCATGTTGTATTTCATAGACCTCTGCCCAATCCTCATTATTTAGTTTTTCGACAAATTTTTTTATGGCTTCCTCTGTGAAACATCTTTTGTGTGTACCTTTCATTGAGTTTTGCAGATTGAGTTTACATGTAATCATTTGGGCTGTATGATCTGAAGCATGAGTCTCAAGTACTTTTGTAATGTAAGTACCCCTATAATTTGTAAAGATATTATTAATGCAACTTTTGGAATTTTTTGTTATGCGTGTATATTCATCAATAACTTTATACACATCAAAGGAGCTAGCTAGAGCTAATAGTTTTGATTTTTCATTATTATTTTCTTTCAGTTCAATGTTGTAATCACCTGCTATAAAGACTAATTTATTATCACTTGTGACTTTTGTTAACAAATATTCAAATTTATCAAAAAATATACTCATTGAACCTCCACAAGGTCTATATAAAGATACAACTATCATTTTTTTATCAGAAAGGGAAACTTCAATACCTGAACATTCGAAATTTCCTTCAACTGACAGTTTAGATATATCCTTTAAACTTTTATAGTTTACCCCATTTTTACAATATATAACACTTCCCCCATGTTTTTTTCTGTACAACAGAAGGATGCTGCTAGATTGAATTTTTCTATTCCAATACATTCCAGTTGGGTAGTTGATTTCCAATGCTCAGTAACACATAAAAAATGGCAGTCACTATTGTTCGCCAAAAAATGTTCTATTTTCTCCACACTGTTTCCTATGGATTGTATGTTTTGGTGCATAAGACCAATATCTCTAAAATTGTGTTTAAGCTGTGAAGAACTTTCTTCAATATTTGATTTTTTTATTGAAAATCCTCTGCACTAGTGCTGTACTGATTGAACTTACGAAAGTTGAACCTACGAAATGTTACTGATTTGAGCCATACTGCAGGGTTGTAAATACTATCTTTGAATTTATAATCAATCCCGAACATGATACATTTGTTCTGACTCTCTTCTGTGGGAAGTTCTTTTACCCTTATTTCTGCACCTTTAAAAGAATCTTGGGCTTTTATATGATTTTCTATTTTTTCAGGAGTAACATGCCTTCTCACTCTGTATAAGTACCTACAGCCATATTTTTCTAGGGACTCCAAAATCTTCCGAGGAATCACTTTCCCCAAAAGTTTTTTTCAATGGCCTCCATTTCTTATATGTGATATGCTTGAAATTATCACTCTCCAATTCTTCTCTTTCTTGCGTTAAATGCACTATTTCTAACATTTTTTCTCTTTATGCCTGTTGGAGTTTTTGATTGAAATTTTTTCGTACCGCTCCCGTATTTCCAACACTCGCAGATTGATTCGGCAGCGACGTGGATGTTTGATCAGTTGAAATTCCCATTGTCAAGGTCTTGTTTTGTTGATTTGAAAACGTTTTGTTTACTGCTGGTTTTTGTAGAACTTGTTTATATGTACGAGTATTCACATTATCTGTTGGTTTTTGTTGGTGCTGTGTTTTTGCTTCCAATTCCATTTTCATCAGTTTTTCTTCTAGAATATTGTTGCTTCTTAATAATTTGGTGTTTTCTAATAGAAGATTATATTTTTCATCTTTTTCCTTTAAAAGTGATTTCAACATACGGACTTCAAATTGAAGCTCAATTTCCTTGCTACCATTTACATCTTTATCACATTGTTGGCAGATGATTCTGGTATCACATAATTTTCTTACACTCCAATTTCATTTTCCCAGCACAGGATAAATGAAATATGTTTCCGCATATAATGCAGACAAAATTTTTTGTTGATTTTGATTGGCAACATTTGAATTGCTTTTCTCTAAAGTTTTCATCACTTATTTTACAGAGCTGAGTTATCGCGTGACTACTAGTCACGCTTTCCTGTGGTAGCCTTTTTTAATTTTTTTTTAAACATTACTATTTTTTTCACATCGGTATCCTTGGGCCATAATAGTAGAATATCTGGCTCCATCAGTTTGTATGCATTTTCCTGTGCAGTTTTTAGCAATTCGTCGTTGCAAGCATTTGTTTTTATCAAAGCCTGGATTGCAGAGTTTTGATGGGTTTGAATATCAAGTGAAGTAACTTGTTACTTATTCTGTTTGTTTTTATTACGTCCAGATTCATTGAACTTTTTACTAGAGTCTGCTTTGAAAGTGTGAAAAACTAAGTCAAGTGGAAGCAGCATGACCTGTGTTCCTTGATTGCGTGTTTTAATTTCCTGTTTATCGACGCCATTGGTTTGTTCATCTGTTGAAGATTTATTAAAATATATGACACTAGTTTGAGTAATTACAGCTTTTGGGTTATTTTACAATAATCTGTTTTTGCAATTTCTTTATCTTGTCTTCCATTTCTTTCAGTGTTTTTTTTGAGTTTCTCTAATAGGATATTCATGTCAGTTTCCATGTCCATAGCTTGTTGTCGATAATGATCCTTTTTTTGTCAGCTTATCAATATATTTTTTATTCATCTCACCTTCCTCAACTAAATTATTTATTGTTTTTTTTCCAGCATGCTGCTTTCTTCCTCCTGGGCAGGTGCACTATTATCTTTACAACAGATTATTTTGTTTTCATTCACAAAAACTACTTCTTTCTTGACATTTGTTATGGAAAACACTTGAACACTGTGCACACATATTGCAGTAAAAGTTTATTTTTACAACATTGATAATTAAAAGTCACAGAGCACTGAGATTGTGTTGTTCCTGCCATGACCATAAACACACATCTAATGAAGAAAAAACACTTTTCCCACACATCAGAATAGTTATAATTCTGCCTATCAGAAAAAATACATTCTAATTACTGAATAAACTGAAGGTCTTATGTACTATTTGAAGAAGATACTTAAACTGAATGAATAAATGTACGTCATATAAATGGACAAAATATAAATTTACTTTTATGAATAATATAAAGACACATCAACATAACCAAATAGAAACATTTGGCTAACCTGAGAAGTAAATGTCTCCTTGAAATATTCTTCTATAGTGGAAATAATAATAGACTTTCTCAATCATGAGCGGTTTTACATCTTTCCTGAATTTACTGGGTTTACTTTATATATCCCTTAAAAATAGAGGAAGATAAAATGTAATAATCTTAGAATATAAATATGAAAAAATACAAATTATGAAACGACAACAAAAATTAATTGGCGCTCCGGGGCGACTTGATTGATTCCAGTAGCGCATTTGCTTTTTCAGATGCAGGAAAACAGAAAAACCTGCAGCACCACATCATCTAAAGATCTTGATCTGCCAATGTCCTCTCTTTCATAGAATAAATGTAGGGTGTCTCTAGAGGCTCCAATAAATTCAACCAGTCCGTTTTATCTTTGACCAATGCGTAATAATGACCAGATTTGAAGAGAAAATTAGGAATGAAATAGAATGAGTTCAAATTCAAATTTATTAGAATTAAAACTTACGAATACAATATATATAT